CCTTTATTCTTGTACAGATGACCAGTTTTCCACCGATCAGGTTGGTGAATTTGAAGGATTGAAGCGGGCCTTCCAGTCATATCATCTTTTTTCCTTAAATATTATGGAAATTAAAAAATTTTTTAGGTGGAGGCAACTTTGGTCAAGTAGTGAAGGCGATCTACAAGACACCACAAGGTCAAGAGGTCGAGGTTGCTGTGAAGACGCTTCGAGAGTCCCAAATCGCCTCCACTGGCGAAGTAAGTGCCATAACTTTCAGTGTCGCCCTAAAATAACCTGTATTTTGTGCCGAACGTTTTAATTACTAAGATGGCTTCTTTGTGTTGCATGACAGTAAACCATCCACTGTAGCACTCTGAGTTCTTCCTGAAGGCGAAGGAATGCATAACCCTGGGACGGGATGTGCATTGCGGACGTAGAGATGGGGTGAGGAGGAGAAGGCAAGGTTACTACTCGCATTACCTAGAGGCCACCCCACCCAGTCGAAGTGCAAGAGTGGAGCCTTAAGTGCTCACAAGACGAAACGTTTTAAGGTTTTGGCGTAATATGGGGAATTTTTATTTGGATAAGTTTGCGTTTTGTTGGGTGGAAAGAAGCTCTACAACTTAATTATTAATGAAGGGAGCTCAAATTTATCCCTCACTTCCCCGTGAATGGCATGCCTTTTCCTGATTTTCATCATATGTTTGAATTTTTAAATATATTATTTTACAATAAATCTGTGACATCGAAGCTGACTGCTTCAATTTGGCCCACCTATCAGCGTTGAAAAGCGAAATTCCAATCTCTCGAAATAGACAATTTAATAATGGGCTCAAGATGGTTTGGAATTACATCCGCTATCATTTTTGAAGAAAAGTACCTCAACAAGGCTTGAGCTTTCATTATTACTTTGTGTTACAGCAAACAATTCTCTCGGAGGCCAAAACCATGACTCAGCTGAAGCACAGGCACATTGTTCGGCTAATTGGTATGGAGCCTCGTTTCCTATTGGTTACTTTGCCCACATTCTTAGAGGAGGCTTTGTGTGCTTCTTTCCTGTCATTATTGACCTAGTATTAGTAGCTGAGTCTTCATTATTGCTTTTAAAACGGATAAAAAAGTGTTGAATAGGAAAGGAGTCCGTAGTGATAGGGTCGGATATTCGTTGTTGACATATTACGCCGTTCCAAATGAGGTGTCATTAATGTGCTTCACTGTTTCCCCTACTGCTGTTATGCATAAACAAATCTCGATTTTTTGATCTGAGCTAGGAGTTACGCAAACGTGGAACAGCGGCTCCTCATCCACTTAGCTAAAGCCATAGTTTAGTTTGTTCTCAGGTGGTTTCGGCTTGTCAGAGAAATGATGACACTTTTCTGGTTGATGCCTACCACAAAGCAGTGAGTATGCAGTTGTCATAATGTTGTAGTCGATTGGGGCTGCAAAATCGGTCCTTTTTTAAGCATAACTTAAGCTTCTTAATTTTGTTAAAGGGGCGGGATTGGGCGAGACATTTAACTTTACCAACGCTTTTATCTCCTCACTGAGTTCGGCGTTTTGACAGTGGATTAGTTGAGCTCTCACTATGAAACCTCGCAACAAAATTCAAACTCCTCCCATTGTTGACGGTTAAAATTAGCATTGTGACTCCTTCACGGGCGTGATTAATTTTTTTCAATCCAAGAATGGACAAATTAACTCGCATTTAAGGGTAGAAGTGGGAAAGAAGGAGGATTTAAATCAAAGCGCATTAAGCAGTGCTGTGTGGCATAAACAAAGGTGGCTATTTTTGTCTCATTCAATTTCACTGCCCTTCGTTGCTTCCTTACCCCTCTTTTCGTGGTTTCTCTTACAGGTGTGTGCAAGGCTCAACACTTCATGCTAGTCCTCGAATTGGCGCCTTTGGGACCCATTAACAAGTACCTGAAGAAACATTCGTAAGTACGACGAGAAGACGACGTTCACCGTTAATCACTTCGTCTGAGGCATCATGAAGGAGAGGAGTTTGAGAAATGTCCTTTTATGAGTTCGGATGAATAACTTTGACTCCCAAAGTAGAAGAGCTTTTTGATAAAAAAAAAAAAAGAAGGACTGTCTGCTTTGATGCTCCTTTTAGCCTTTAATTGTCATGAAAAGGGACTACAATCGAGATTGTGTTGGAGGAGGGCGTGGGGAAGAAAAATTGAATTCCTCTGCACCACCAAGGAGATTTTGGTCATTCTTAAGGAAAGTGTGTGACCTCGTAGACACCGAAGATATGTCAGCTCTCAGGATCGTCATGTAAAAGTTGATCGCATCGACTCAAAATCTACCCAAAGAACCATCATTATTCCTAGATTTTGATGTTAAGGTTATACCTTTGTTGACGTCATTAACAATTGTTTTTTTAGCTTCTCTACACAAATCTCTTCGGTGCGAAAGTTGCGTTGCATGTCCGAGGAATCCGGCCAGGCTGGCTCATAGTAATCCTTGGGGAGTTAAGAACCCTGGTTGAATAATGCATTGT